GTGCCATTACGTATCAGACATGTACACAATCATCCCATAGCGCAATCATTCATTAATGAATGAGTGGCCACGAACAGAAGGATGGAGTAATCGAAACTAGTCAGAGATAACAATCTTCGAACAGAATGGAGGTACAAATATAAACGAGTGAAAGTATTAGGAACACAGACAAATCAGTAGTTAACGTGTTCACGATAGGGTGAATTGCATTCCACTTTATCTCACGAAACCGGTAGATTGATGATGTACAAGGGCAACTGAGCAAGTCAAAAATGGCTTAACTGAGTTTGACGGAAACTAACTCAGTTTTCAATGTATTATGGTTCATGGTACATTGATGGGAATCGGTAAGTAGCTGATTACAGTTCCATGTTTTACATTTACCAGGAGCTTTACATCTTCGGTTCTAATTTCCTTTGGCATTCTGCTGACGCTGAAACGGTTTGAAGATTCTTCCGTCTAAGCAATGATATATTTAATCTCAAACGCACAGTTCAACGAAAAGCCATAAAACGCACATTACGACATGTAAAATGCAGAGAGCTTATTTCACACCAGTGTTTTAGTATTACTCTAAAACAATTAAATTACTGCTAGTCAAATGATGACATATAAATGAGACAGCTACGTCGCCTTATCTTGAAACAATCAAATTCATCGAGGTTCAGGGTTGTATGCTAAACAACTTACGGAGCCGTTATCGTATTTGACCTCAGAAAATGATTTTGAGAATGTTTTGTTATTTTTGAAGGAAACAGGATAGAAGGAACGTATTAGGCTCTCCCAGTTATCCCAGGACCTCCACTTCAGTGAAATAAGCTTGAGAAAAACACTATTACAAGAATTATGGTTTACAGGATAATGATTGACAAATAAATGGTTTGAGTGTTTGTTTTGTAAATGGAAATTTTATTTAAGTGCCGTTGGTGGCGAGATTTTGAATTTTAATATATGCAGATTAGAAAGACATATGGTATTTACTAATGCGGAAAAACGTTTAAATATTACAGTTAGAAAACAAAACAGACGAAAAGCAACTGTAATCTGAAACTCCGCTAATAAAAAATCGCACCGCTCCCAGTCCCAATGGCTTTGCGTGACCTGAACAAGAACAGGTTTGATCAAAACTAAAAGAACCATTGAAAAAGGATAATCAGTCTTTGGTAAGGACTAGGTTTCCGCGTCAATCGGTAGACGTAGACCGGAATTAACCAATTTTACTCGTGTAGTTTGGGATAACCGTTAAACTGCAACACTCACAAACTAATAACTGATACACTGTAAGGAATAAAAGTAATAGAACAAATGGAAAGAGAACATGCATTTAGAGGCGAACAATTGATCTCATTGATTCATTCTATGGCCCGTACAGATGAAATGAGGAAATGGCATACTGAGCGGACATAGTCGTTCGGTCATTCAAAAGTCACGGGGATTGAGTGAATAGGAGAGGAATGAAGGGGGGGGGGTGACGTGTTTCACGCCCCTAGATCACCACAGCATTGTAATCAAACTGTGATGCGTTATCCGTGTGGTCGATCTTCGGCCACGGCAGTTGAATGGCATGGGCCAATCTCTTTTGTGCACATAGATTAGTTTGAATAAACGAATGCCGATCGCTTCCGGCTAGGGTGTGGAGACGCAGCTACTTGGATGGATGCGGTGGTACTTGATAAATGACTTTGAAAGCTGATTGAGGCTTCACTGGGTGACCCGAGTCTGTCAGGTGAACGAGAATAGCGCTTTCTGTGACACCTTTTCCACCGTGTTGAAGCCAACGTGGACAGTGCTCCTTAATCCGCTGAGACAGTGGCCTCGCCGTTCGACCAATGTAGGTTGCGTTACAAACGCAGCAGAAGGAATATATAACCACAATGTGGCCAGCGTAGGTAAACTGTCTTTATTGGATGTTTTTATTATGGGTAAGCCTGTGAATACGCATGAAGACCTGATTGCATTGAAGGTTCCTCTCACAGCACGCACTAAACGTTTCTTAATCAGATCAGACAGGTCGTTTGCTCTGAATGGTAGTTTAATAAACAGGTTCTTCTTAGGAGCTTCATGAACGGGATCGTGCTTCGCTTTTTCTTCTACGATTCTTTCTTTTGTGGTATCCGTCTCCTCTTAGAATGTTCTTAATCTGATCAAGTTCATCTGCGAACGTGGATCCGGAGCATATCCTTCGTGCACGTGAAACAAGACACTGAAAAAGGTTTCTCTTTTGTATAAGTGGCACGAAACTGTGAAAGCTGATATACTTTTTGGTCCTCGTTTCTTTTCTGTATACCCTTCTTTCAAGCAGCCCATCAGTTGTCCTGTGCAGAGCTATGTCAACAAATGCTAGTTTGTTATCTTTCTCTGTCTCCAGGGTGAACCTGATCGACTTGTGAGCCTTATTAAACGTTTGTGTGATGTGGGTTAGGTCGTTTTCATTGTCATTTATGCAAAATATATCATTGACATATCACTTACAAAATTTCATTTTTCTGATTTCGGATTCTGGGATTGAGTTCTCCAGTTTAACCATGAACACATCCGCTAATATCGGTCCTAGTGGAGAGCCCATAGTGACACCATCCTTTTGACCATACAGTTTTCCATCGGATAGAAATTGGACATCGAAAGTGCATTTCAGGAGCAGTGCTCTCAGTTTTGCTACCGGTACTCTTATATCGATTTCGTTTTTTTTCTATGTACTTACAGATGAAATCAAATCAATGAAAAGAAATAATAAATTGATATATATCTGAGTGCCACCGGTAAAGAGAATCCTACATGCAGATAAAAACTCACCGACGATACAAACGAAAACTCTCAACCGTTAGTTGCACTCTCCACTGGCCACAAATGAAGAGTCCTTTGATAAATGCCGTTTTTCGAGAATAAATAGTACAGGCGATAAGTGAAGATCCCCTGAAAAAGTTTCACAGTCGGCCTAAAACTAGTACCGTGATTTTTGAAGAGGCGCATGAAGATTTTGCGATATACTCTCAAGGCAGGCCGGTTATTGTATTTCAGTGACATCGAATGTGATGAAAATTAATTTCTTCATATTTGCTCGCTCTCTCACACAAATCGTACACCTCGATTAGTCCCAATGATGGGGCGCGTGAAAAAATTACATCATAATGAATATCACGTGCAATCTTAAAACGGATGTTACCTTCGGTTACGTTCCTTCCATATGAACCATTTTTCGTTGTAATAAAATTGGCAGTCGTTTAGATTCTGATATTGTATGATTAAGAATCAATAAATAATAATAATAACCTATTGACAAGCTAAATAAAAATCACACGTTGTCAGTCACCTCACTGAAAGATACAACTGCAAGTATGAAATGATAATTACGTATGAGGATAATAATCATTTAGAAAGATTGTTTTCAAGTTCAGCAGTGAATTTCAACTTAAAATTGATCCAAATCCAGAGTACAGACACAGTGAGAGATATACTAGAACTTGGAAGAGGAACCTCCCGCTCTTGCACGCAGCGTGGGCCATCTGACTTGATCGTCGATGAAAGCGACGTTCTCATGCTATAGCAAGAAATATTTTTATAATCTTAAAGCTTTTTATTCAAATTGGAAAACTGTCGGTGTAATTATCATTTCTCAACAACTACTTGCCATTGAATTCTTGACAAGCGTTGTGGAAATCGACGTCACTCTGCAGCGAGTTGTAGAATGTTCGTCAAGTTGCGATTCACATATGTGCTCACTGGAACTCGGTTACGTCCACACAACTTCGCGTTATAGATTGTAAATCGGATGCAGTTCGATATGTCACGTGCTTATTTTTTTCTTAGTTTCTGGAAAGCAATATGTGAACATTTCATTCAGTTGTATCCAGTCAGTTTAATCGTAGTCATCTTTCTTGACATATTGGAACCTGTGACATAATGGTGATGCATCGTGTCCATCCGATATGCACGTATGCGGTATAAAAATCGATCCTTCTGTAGGCAGAGGTTGAACAAAAATAAACTTCAACTCATCATCGAAAGCTTAAAAAAGGACCTACTGATCGGCAAGGACTGCTAAACAGTTTTTTATATTTCGATGTGAAGAGTGTTTAATGATGCAAACACTTTCCAAAAAGTTATTTACGCAAAAGGTTCTTTCGATTAGTATACATAAACCGACCATTTTTCAATTGTCTCTATTACTGCTATACTAACTCAGCAGTTGTTTAAATTTTAATGCATATTACCGGAATTCAGCTATGTAATATTTCTTCCGTATCTATCCCTCAACGATAACTTGATGTAGCATTTATCCAACCGACTGAACAGCCTTATTCCTTATTGGAATATTCTCTATTCTCATATTTCGCCTTGGTGAATATGACTTCAGTACGCAGATTTCAACCACATAAGGTGAATACGGTAAGCTACAAAAGACTTCCTCAACACTTTACCACTCTGATCATATCATGGACATCACGCGTTTAGTCAACTTGAAGCCCCATGTAGCTGTGATTTTATCCTCGCGCGATGCGGAATATAATGTTTATGTTCGTCCTGAAACAACTACTGTGGCCACCTATGTGTTTGTGATTTATGTCAACAAAATGTTTTCGCATAAACCACGGTAGAATCCGGTGTATAAACTGCCTTGGGTTTACTCCAGAATGAAGAGTATGGAATGTTATGCGTGGGTACTATGGTGAACCAAATATCTTCTGGAATGGAAAACTGAAGATTTGTAAGTCAATCTGAACTAGTACAAAATCACTTATTCCACTGAAGTTGTGTAAATCAATCTTTGTTGTAATCTTGATGAACACTATAAACCCGTACATTTAAAGTAGAAAGATTTTTATTGTTATATCTTCAGTGACTAAAATGATAAATTTAACTCTTGGTTACTTTTATGAAAGCCAACTAGAGGAAGAGAACTATACCGTTACACAGGTTACCTCATTCATGGAGTTGTGGCTTCATTCGTTTTGTGATATACATGTTCCAGTTTTGAATGAAAAAAACATTAATTTCTTCATATGCTTACTTCCGAATTTCCACCGCAGTCCGAGGCACAGATGAAACCGGTCAACGCTCGACCAGATGAAGAAGGCAACGAGGAAGAAGTGGATTACAGTTTCATGAATTTACCTGTTCGAGAGAGACGGAAACTTTTTCTCAGCGCTGAACGCCCACCCACATTTAGACCTGCCGGAGCAGATTCGTTGACGAGTATGTGGAACGTAGAGCTTGTCCGGGGGTGGGGTGGAGTTGGGTTTGAAGTACTTAGGAAAATATTTTCGCTGTATTCTATATGATAAACGCAGTCACTTCTGAGGGAATATGTCGAGGTTGTAATTTGATATAAAGTTCCTACACAACTGACGGCTCCATCATTTTCCAGTTATCACAGCTGAAAGGATTGAAGAAGTAATCATTTGTGAATAAACGTGGTTATTCTGTTTTACTGCGTTTCTTGTAGTGATAAGTGTATCAGTTACAAATAATAAAACACTCTATTCAAGCAAAATGACAGAATGAAAATTTAGGATGAATCACACTTGAATTTAAATCCTACGTTTGTTGATGTCTTCGTTTGCAGCACGATATGTTGCTGGTGAAATCAATAATAAATAAACTCCACTTGTCAAATGTAATACCCCATATATATATATTTATATATACATATATATATATACTTAATTGATTCAAAGCTAGTGTATTTCGGAATTACCGAAAGTTTTAATTATATCCGTGTCATGCATACCTGTCATTGCTATCGCGTAGCTGTGATACATTGAGTGGTGCGCGTTCTTCAAATCACTGAAAAAAGACTATCATCCCACCCGCACTCAGCAGAAGCAAGTAATTAATAACAACTTTCGATGTCCTACCCTGAAGTATTCTACCGGTTTTTGACCGCTGATGGAGGATAATTTAGTTATACGCAGCAAATGCCAGTAGAGTAATAGTTGTGGGATTTTGTAAACAAGAATTTTAGCTTTCAATCATCAAAATTGGTCTCACGTGATTGGTGTTCCTGGAGTGTGATTAAATTATGAATAGACGTATATGTTCTGTATCTAATTTCTACACGCTTTTTCAGTTCAGAAGTAACGTGTACTGAACAGGGCAACCGTAATCCATTCGACACTACGCTTTCTGCAATACACTAATATATTTCTTTGTTCAATATGCAATCAACCTTAGGGATACAGCGTACCTCTTCTTATCAACCACACTTTCGGTGTCTTTACGATGTTTTATTTGCTTGTTTTGATTATCGTTGCAGGAAGCGCCATTCCATTCTTTATGAGTCTTCCTGGGTAATTTTGCTCATATAATTCACGCTAATGTTAAGCTACTCTTCCATGGTGGGTCGGTCGCGACGCCCATCATCACTAACCGGAACAGTTGTGGGTGTGTTTCTGTACGTAAAGATCACGGGTGTGGATGTTAAATTATTCACATCTTGAAATGATCTGCGTCCAATATCTGGTTGGGTTGGACCTGCTGTCAGGTGATATCAGAGCTCCGAGATAGTTTGATTGCCTCACCCGGCATCATTGATTAGCTGTTTCCTTCCAAATATCAGTCCACCTCCTGTCCGAATTTAACTAATTTTGACAGACGTTGATGGTTCGTTTTGTGCTTTCCAAGATTTATGGACTCAAAAGGTGAACACTCACAGCTCTTTCTCGATCGCTAACTGACTATTTGCAGTTGTCAATCTGAAGTTGTTCAATTATCGGGTAGAGATGATTAATTAAGGTTGGGAGAACGATCTAAGCTGAATATTTTACTTTCTGGTTTACTGTTTACCGTTGAGCTATTGAATAAGAGTTTCGGTGATCGATGAAATATGAATATATGTATTGAGGTTAAAACCCAATCATCCAATCACTGCTGCTTTTCACGATCAACAAGTCGTGAATAATGTGAGTCTGTGTATTCGTTGATCAAGGCGAGAATATGATAGGATTTGCAAAGACCTCAATAAGCTGTGTTTGAAATATATCACCCGTAAATGAAACACGTGGTCACGATAGAAATCATACCATGTGTTTTATATCAATGAAAGTGATATACGTTTTCTGTTAGCTAAACTGAGCATGAGGGCGACTGCCTAGCAATAAAACTACAGGGGTTTTGACCATTTTGACGATCACATGTTTATATTACGAGGTCTTCACAGTCCTTGAACAACAGAATTATCTAGCCATTGCAATTCCCCTTAGGTATTCGGTTAGTTAATTATGCTTTTCGATGTGTTACCTTGCTTACGGCGGATACCTCCGCTTTTCTCTCTCTCTATTTTCCCTTTCTAGTGCCCCGACCCCGGGCCTCATCCAGACCTGCACCGTCTCGTTTCGAGACGCAGTCAGAATACGGTGGGGCCGGAGAGGATCCGTTCGGCTGGGAACCCCCGGTAACACAGAGTTGGACAGCGGGGACGCGAAGTGCTCCATCTTATGCACCTTCTCGCACCACAAGCAGTAGTGGAACCATTATTCTCAACTCTTCGCGTGCTGCAAACAGACCGGTGTTGAATCAGCCCCTTGAAGTGCCCGTCAGACAGTATTCGCATTATGCAGCACCACAGAGGTCTCCGGTGAGTTTCGCGCTTCCATTAAGCCTGATGACTAATAATATGCGGGCTAAGTTTAAGAAATCAGAGGCGATTGAAGGAAAATAGGACTGTGGACGCCCAACCACAAACAGAAGCTCTATTGCGTAAATTGGTCACAGACTGTTAGTTACATTCGGAGTGACTATTGTTGGTCACCTGAGTTCTAGAAGTATCGTCTTTTTGTGGCTCTACGTTTTAGGTTTAAACGTTCACGGCACCATCTATCGACTTCACTTGAATTGGATGAGAACAGTATTTGGCCAGTTTCAACAAAAACGAATTCGTAACAGAGCTCTATTAAACCATTGAAAACCCCAGAAAAAACATGAGTAATTCGAATACGAAAAGATCAGTGCTATCGGTTCGGCCTCGTAGTTCAGCTGGTAGAACGTACGCTTACAAAACGTAGGCGGCGTCCATGCGTTGGTTGTAATACCACGGAGGCAGCTGAGCTTTTCACAATCGCTATACAAACTTCAAATCTGCTTAAAAACAATTTAAATACTTTCTATTGTCTTAGAAGCTCATTCGGTGGACTCCAGTAAATTCCGCGGAAAATCTGTTTTGTTTTAAGAATAGAAGTATTATGGAAGTTGTATTAGTTCATATCTGAAATGAAATAATATTTGAATCCTTCATTATTTGTTTCACTTCGGGGAAGTTTCCGTTTGATCAATAGACTAGTGTTGCGATAGTGTAGTGAAATGCTTGCAATCATTTATCAAAAAAGAAATGTGCCCTGTTTTGTAGGGACTACATAAGGCAATGCGATGAGCTGACTGGTGTTCAAATGAGTAGTATATTTGCTTTCTGTCTGTACTTTCCCTAGCTCGATCCTGAGTTGGGTTGCCCAATTTGCACCGCTGATGGGCCCATCGGAGTCAAAACGGCTTTTCGGTGTCTCCCAAAGTTTTTACGCTATTATTTAGTAATGAAACAGTGAACGAAGCTATTTTGAACTGATCATAAATCACTCCGACGAAAATTTGCCAAGGCTTTATAATTATATGACTGATCCAATCGAAATTTGCAATTTTTCTTTAAAACTGCTCTTTTCTTATGGTTCAAATACTCATTCCCTTAATAATATCCGGTCTTTACTGTTGTAACAGGTTCAAACACCTACTCCAGGTCGCTACTATCACACCTATTCGCATCCCAGTCGTGCCATTTATCGTCCTCAGTTTTCCACGACAATTCGCGTGCAGGATCCCTACACACAGGCTCCACGTGTGATAGGCAGTGGCATGAGCGGACCTGCTCGAGTTTACCCAGTTCGACGTTTCAGTACTGTAGCCACACCGACGTACTATGCTGGACCAACGTATACATACAATACCAGTGATCAGTGGAGACCGGTTAATGCTAACGTTATTGGACGTGTTTCGCAACCGTTGCGAGTCAATGTCTACAACAGGTTAGCTCAAGAAACTCGTGCACCGTCCTTTTCAGTTAACTCACGTAGTCCTACAGATACATTCCGCACTTACAGGTTCAATTCAGTGTACGAAAAGCTATTGATTTTTGAATAACCTTCATATCTGATAGTAAGCGACCATAAACTCTTCAAATTATTCACAGACTTCTTTCAAATTTTGGACACCACTTCTTTTGAAACTTCAAGCATTTTTCTGTGCATGAATTCTGGATAGTTGTAACTGTTCAACTGTTTTCTAATAAAACGCAAAAAGATTTGACTAAAATCGAATGACTATAATGCTAGGTATTTGAAGTTTCCTAAACTATGCTGGATAAACAATAATCCCAATGAAAATGGCGTGAAACAAATGCTTCGTAAAAGTACTGAATGCACTCCTAAAGCAAAGCACAAAACACTTTAATCGTTTAGAAGTTGTTTGTCGGAACAACCGGTCTTGTGGTTCTGGATAACCCAAGGACTATTTTCCACCTGATAAGAATGTTCCAAATCACTTCGTAAATCACTGGACAGAATCTGTCTGGACCACGAGTTGTAAAGCCAAAAACCTGCAGTCCATGTGATGCATTCCAAGTGTAGAGTAGCAACCTTCTTGGCTTTGATCTTTTCTTTGGAATCGATCACTTTTTTCAAGGAGAGTTCACTCCAATGAAACATAAGATGTAGAGATTAAAGCTAATTTGAGCAGAGATCAGTAGAGACAACTGTAAAAAAACGGTTTACATTCGAAATATTCTAGTTTCTGGATAAAGTAATTAGTGTGCATGTGAGATTGTACGCTTGAGAGCGACCTGATTCAACGTAATCTGTAATCCTGTAGCAATTCCTTTCGTGTTGATTTGGTGAATTATAAAGGCCAATGGATTAAACTTCTTGTTACACTTTAATTGATACCTTTTGCGTGAGGTGGATTGTTCCTCAAGAACTCTCTTTTTGTCAATTAGTATCTTTAGTTAAAATTCAAAATTTTATCATGGTCGAGTTGACAAACCTTGTGTTTATCATGCAGCGTAAGATTTTAACAGAATCTTTTCGACAACTTTACAAGGAGAAAATAGTAATAATAATATGCATGATCACCCAAGGATGTCGAAATGCTAAGTGTTCCGATACTTTCTCAAGTTTATATTTGAATGTTTCAACCGTAGGAGCATACACAATATGAGATGGCAGAGAATTCCATACGCTGCACACTCTGACTGCAAACGAGGGATGCCGACAATTAAGGTGACTGTTCTGTAGCCTCAGCTGTATTGGGTGTTCCCTGAGATGATCATTTTGAGATGGAGTCAACACGAAATGGCATGTGCGGTTGGGTTGCTGCAGTATATAGCAGTTCAAGAATAGGTCCGCCAAAAGTCGACGGTGCTGAGATGAGTAAAGTCCCAATATTTACAGTCTTTCGGACTATATCTTGTTATACAGACCTTTTATCATTTTTCACCAACCTTTGCGGATGTTCTAGAGCCTTTTTCGTCGCAGTTCAATTAAATATTCCATACTGGAACGTATATTCCCTGTGTGGCCGAATAGCAAGCCTGGAAGCAGTGCTCTTTCAAAATACCCGAATGCAATTTTAAATAGTCCAACTTGCTATAGAGCCATGGATGGTGCTGTGGTACACCGCATGGAACATTCTACATCATCCCGTACCCTAACTATCAAATCCCGTTCATTAGTGGCATGCAACGGTATGTGGTCCCCCAGAACATAGGAGAAACGAGTCTTGTGCCACTTGGAAATAAATGTGCATTTTGAAACGTTGAATTCAATGACACTAAGGATTGTTAATCGGTGGGATGCTGCTTGGAATGCCATATAATCCTCTCAATGTGTTACTGTTCTCCAGATATTAGCGTCGTCCGCAAATAGTGGAGTGTTTGATCCAAGGGTAAGTGGTAGGTCATTGGTAAATGCAATAAAAGGTCGATGCCTCAGCAAGAATCCTTGCGGAACCCCTCGAATAGCAGTGATAGGCTCAGATAATGGATCACAAACACGAACTGACTGGTTTCCTTATTGGGGAGTCTGAGCTGTATATGACACATCTTATTTACTGCTTTCTCAATATGAATCTATACTTATAAGTTTGCTCATTTCGATTTTGTTATGTTCTTGCATCGTGTTTTTCTTTCCTCAAAATTCTGCGAGTTATACTAATACTTGCTATTTAATCGTTACTAAATACCGATTTGATTCCTGTTTAATGCTGTGTTGTATTACAACAAATCTTTAAACAACCACACTGCACCTAAGTGCATAAAAAAGACCACGGGAGTTTCTTTGCTACACTGTACTTTGCAGATATTCTGTATGTTTTCGTTGGTGGATATAACGATTATCAATGTTTTGCTTTCCACGTTTCAAGCAAACATGATTTTTCTCCACTTTAACAACCCTATAGTGACACATCGACAGTGAACTTCAGTCCAACGCGTCGTGGAGAACCGACTTACATTTCCGGATCACCAGTATATCCGGCTTATCCAGCATACATGGAGCGACCGTTCAATGTGCAGTATCAAGTAAGTGCGCTTAGTCAAAACTATCTGAAGCTTGTTTTGTTTGACATGAATGCAATAGTCAAACAGTTCCTTCTAAAAAACGTTTTCCCGAGGTTGAACAAACAAGTAATGCCTAGCATGGTAGCGATTCATTATTAAAAAAGATATTTTTTTCTTGAACTCCAAAAAATAAAGCCTGCATTCCATGTTGTATGGAATATCCAGTAAGCGGCAAATTTAATGATCTCATATCCCTCATTGTCTTGCATGCTTCCTCGTGCCAGGAACATGAAATATACTTTAGGACGCGGCGTACCAAATTTCTAAGTAAAACTGTATGTTTTATGTCAATCAGAGCAGAAAACGTGATAAACTCGGACAGTCAAAAGTGTCAGACCCCTGTGACAATGCGGTTTCGAGTCAAACATTTATGGAAACCGGGTGAACCAGTTTGCTTGGTTGAGTGGTCTGTTATATGCATGTGCCGACAAATAAACTCACGGGAGTACGTGTCACGTGACTCATGTGTACTGGAGAGGGTGATGCATCACATTTGTCGAGCTGCTCCCGGTGACTTTTGTCCACGTTGAATACATACATTATGAAAGACGCATTAAATGAATGTTTGCATGCAGTATCTGCGTTCTAATATGTGGAATTTCATTTGCGTGAAATCAAAGTTGTACACTCATTGACACTGAGCACTTTAATTGGAGTCACTGTATGAAAATTAACTTTTAAAAGAACGCGTATGAAATTGAAGAAAACTGAAAAAGCAAATCAAAGATAATCTCAATTATGGACCGAATACTCTTTGAATCGATGAACAAGCAAAAGATGTCTTTCCCATTTGGTAAAAACAGTTTGGATAGAATGGATGTGTGAAACTATTATCCGATGGGCTGTGATCAAAGAAAGAGAGAAACATTCATCCAAAGAAACGCCTACGGTTGATGAATAATGTATTGAAGAAGCTTTCTTATCTAACACCCAAAATGAGCTAGCAAAGCTTGCTGATATATTAGATTCTATGGCTTGTATTCTTTTGTTTGGAAAGCTCTTGCTAGCTTTACTCACCAGTAGATTATATAATGTCTCACTATACCAACGTGATATTGCTGCTGTCTATTACACTCAGAAGTAAAAAGTGTTGGCTGTTGTTTAGTTAGATCTAGTTCAAGTAGGCGCAGTCTGTAGCGCAAATCTAAACCCGATTTTAATCGTTAGGGCCTACATACCCACCGACTGTGCGAGGATTCCACAAATAAGCATTTTATTTCAGCTGATAAGTGAGAATGAGTAAATGGTAAATAATGTACAATCAGAGGTCTAATGCGAAGTGTGTTGACAACTTGTATCGAGGTTTTCAAATATAATTTTAATTAGTGTTTAAAGGAGCTGAGGTGAGGAAATCGTATGCATTTTCATCACTTTTGATTTCAACGATGTATCACGATAATCTATAGTACCAGACCCACTAACGCGTTTTCATTGATACTTCTAACAGGCTCCTGCTGAGCGATTTACTCGTGGCCAGTCTGTCCAGCCGGCTACTGTGTATGCAAGACCACCGTCACCTATTGCCCATCGAACTACTACCATGCAATCATGGCGACCATTACAAGCACCGAACTGGGTCGAGGGAGAACAACCCCGTCGACCGGGACGTTTCATATCGAACCAACGTCAGAAAGCCGCACCAGCACGGACACAAGACCCACAGGAGCAGGTTGGAGTGTCAGACTTTTGAATGACTGGCAAAGCAATATTCGTGAGCATTGGAAAATGTCCGCAAATGAATGATTTCACAAGCGCAGTTCGATGAATACGAATTCGAGCCCACATCCCTGTGCGACGAATTCGAGCAAGCCCAAACAAGTCGGAAATTTCCGATTGATCTCTCTTTCGTGCATTTCGTAAACACACGTAAAACATATTTGCTGCAGGTGATAGTGTTCAATCGCAACTAGATGTTTTCCGAATTCTTTCTAGAATACTCCCAAAGTGCCCAATCCACCTTTCTGTGGCTACTGTTGGAATTTCTTTCAATCACGTGATCTCTGCTGCCCGAACTTGTTCTACACCCCGGACTAAAACTCTCCCGTTCGTTTAATCCACAACAGTCCGCGCTGAGCAAACCGAACTCGCTCGCTGTCACAAACGCGTGCAGTGACCAGAACAGATATGGAACCTGGTCATCTCTTTTATCATCTTGGCACCATCATCAGCATCAACAGGAACAACAACGACACAAACAACAGCAGAAAACATGACAACAAGAGACACACTTTCGTTTTGATTTTGCTTCTCAATCATCCATGATCAATTGCCCCCAAGTTTATTCTGATCTATATTATTATCATTGAACAAATCCACAAGTCAATACACGTTCAATGCATTGTAGTCATTTCAAATCCCCTCTGTCACGAGAAAAATTTACGATAATTTCCCCTCTATTCGTACGCTTCCGGATATGTACGATGAACAAAGGGGAGTTCTTTGTTTAGTAAAATGATATTTTTCTCATCAGTGAAGCTCCGAAATTTCTCTTCCATTAAGTTGGACCGATTGTTTGTGTGCCTGTCTTTCTGTTTCTGTTAGTTTGTTCGTCCGTCCGTCTGTCTGTAAGTCTTTCCTGTGTCTCAATCTTCCGTCCCCCTCAATAATCAGCAAACCCGATTCTTCTGTTCCCCAACACATTTGTGTTGTGTTTGTTTTTCCTCCTCGCCGGCACTTATTCCAGCTGTTTGAAATGTTTCTTTTTGTTCAATCGTGTGCCTCCCCGCGCCTCTACCCTGATTTCTTTTCATTTATCCTCTTCAAGGATTTTCTCCAACCTTTCAGAACAGTGCATATGAAAGAGTGCAGTTTCAAAGTTAGAGCCAACTGAAACCATGACGTGATTTGCACACCAAGCTTGTTCCGCATTTACCCAACCAATCATAAGTCCACCTATTCCATGAGCAAACAAACCAATCAATCATTCAAATAAACAAATAATCATACAAATAGAAGCCAACATGCCGCAGAAATAAAAATCACATTACTTGAACTGAACTGAACTAAACTGAACTGAATACGGGATACATCTTAAAAGGCATGTCTAAAGATCTAACTTGTCATTGCAGACAATTCATAAATGCTGCTCAAATTATTTTCCCCATTGCGGCCGCCCAATGCGCTGTCCCTCCTTCAGTTGAACTACTGCATTCAAACAAACGCAGATCCTGACGAGAAAATAATGTCACGATACAATCAGATTATTTCACCTTGTTGCCTTTCAAGGAATGTCTTTTTGTGCTCTCATTCACACACGCACACACACATGCCAATATCTCATCCACCTTTATTCTCTTTGCACTCTACCCACCAGCCTTCCTGCTCTGTACCCCACAAATACCCCAAACTTCTTCTGTAGACCGATCATGTTTTTGATCTGATCCTATGACTCATGCAGAAACTACCTAAGCGGTCTCGGAATCTGGTTACACCATGAACAAATCAGTGTCTAATCTATGGTTTGTCAGGTTAGGGCATGGAAAACGGGGCAATGAACGTTTTGATTTTCACATCCCTAGTGAATGAAAAGGAATTCAAGCCGAAAATGACAATAGTTTGTGGTGTAATGACAATGCATATCAAAATAGCGATTAGAGGCTTTAAACCAACGCTCACGTTCAGTACGCTTGTAAAGAAGCAAAAGTAGACACCACACAAGAGGTCCTATTCAAAATAACTAACCGGAAAATGCCCTTTGATTGCGTTAATCTGCCACAATTGTACCCCTGGTCATGTGACGTTAATCTATTCTCGTGAATATATGAGCTCCCTGTAGTGGGTTTATGATGAACAGGAATTAGATGATTTTTCCATACAGATATAGGTTCGCGATGTCATATTCATTAAATGTGATGGGACCAAACACACTTTCTACACGATGTAGTGGGTGATCATGCTCTCTTCATAAAACCTTGCGCACAGGGTCCGCTCTCACTTTAGTTTGAACTGCTCTTTATCTAGTGTGCTTTAGGTCAACCAGTAAATGTGATCTCATTTATCACGAACCATGATTGTTCAGTGTGAGGAAGGGTTCGTCTATGAGTAAACGAAAGGACAGTTATTTCACGGAGGAAATGATTTCGAACTGCTGTTCAGATTTTACTAGTTCATCATATGTAACACGGTTTCTTATTACACACCAGTATGTGATGAGCAGCAAACGGAGCGAACCCCATAGTCACGAAGGCCTGCTGTTCAGTGATTAAAACCGGCAATCTGCTACCCGGAACTTGAAGTGGCGAACCACATAAAGCCCCGATAAGTCAGGTGTGGTACAGAACCGGGTGCCAGCGAAGTTGTTTACCACTAAAGTTGGGTGGTGGTGGTGGGACTCGATCCTTGGACCACAGGGTCCAAAGCACGCCTGCGACAGTGACTAAACCACTGCGCCACACTGCACAAAGCACCTTATAATTTTACTTTATATAAATAATGTAGGCTCACTTTGTAATTTAAGCAACACTTCCACGATAAGAATTTGTAATCAGTTATATAAAACAATATTTTCTAAGATACCTGATTTCGGTTACAACTCATTTTACCAATAGATTCTGGGGTATTAACGACAGACTATATGCCTAAGTAATTCAAAATATTGGGTTTATTTGGAGTGTTTACTCGTCCTGAGGCACAGAGTAAGGATAATGCTACTGTTTACAAAACTATTTTGGAGTATCTGCTTTATTCGCCATCGCTAACCTGTGTGTGATACGCTAAATTCAATTATGATGGCTGCTTTGATAGCACAATTATTGTGTACCATGATTGATGTCGGGTGCAGAGAACAATTCATTCTGTTGCTCGTTTGTTTGAAGTCTTTCCAAAAGCTGGTATATAAGACGTCACTTTCCCAATTAGTGTAGGCTAACGATTGGCAGCGTGATTCTGATTTCCCGAGCGACACTCCCTCCACAGTTTTTTCGATATCATATGGTTTTTCGTTCAAATTACAGCACTTTTCAACAAACGTTTAATCATCTTTCATGATGCTTGGTGTTTATGAATCCCAACCTATCGACAATGTGATGATGCGACATGCTTTGATATTCGTAGCTCGTGCACAATGGGCCTTGTGCGAACGCTTTTCATAATGTCGGCCGCTTATAGGTTGAAACCGAGAGTTATTTTCAAGAAACAAACATTCCAATTCCCTCACGGATAATTGAAACAAACTGGTTAACGGTAGACTGTTCCGAGGTTCATCGGTATCCATGTATGATCAAAGGTAAATAATTTTCAAACAAGTGAATATGTCACTGCATTTACCTCTAATGATGATCAATAGGTAATACGAAAACTTGTGTTGAGACTGAATTCAGCTCTAGGGACTCTCGTTCAAATGTAATAATTTGAAGTGTAACTTGTAAGTTGTTATCCTTAGGAATTACGACGAAAATTGAATGCCCATATTTTCAGAAACGTAAGTAAATAAGTGAAAGTTTACTCTTTCTGCGAGTCAGTATCCCGAAGAAACGGGTATCCTGAATAAACGTAGCACGATTGCCATAGAAAGATAAGCAGTTAGTCAGGGGTAGCGTAAACGATTCAGTGGTGAGCAAAAGCGATGAGCTTGGTTTGTAGTACAGCAATTGGATGTTTGACTCATATAAACCGCGTGTGTCAACTGAAAAAGCCGCCAGTCGTCATCAGTAACCTGTTTAGAGTAATGAAGAAGAACCAGAAAGAGTCGCACAGACACAATGGAAGAAATTATCTTATTCAATCCTTCCCAACTAGCAGTATAAATACCTGTGCATGGGGCTCATTGTAAATAGCGATTAGGGAGGGAAGTAACCGGTGTTTACTTCTTTTGGTTTTACTTTTACTTTACCCTAGACCAGGGTTTCATCAGGTGTCGATATCCACCTTCTGAGTTGTCTCATAATCAGGCACTCATCGCTATTCTCATCAGGAACCTTAAGCGCTTGTTTACATTTTTTAGGTTGATATTTAGGACGGATGAAGATGGTTTATTGGATGCAAAACCGTGTATAACTACATGGCCCCGTTTTGACTCTCTATGGAGTCGGAAATCTTTGGTCCCATTACCAGTTTCATTGGTGCCCACTAGAAGCTAGTAAGTCACATCTGTGATTAAATCGATGATGATCGNGATCGTTCGCTGTTACTCTGTGCAATGCTCACAGGGGCACCTGGCCGAATGTTGTATCCAATAAATATAAATCTGCAGAAATAACTAAAGGATTATTCTAAAAGCGACCGCAAGATCAGTCTCCCTATATCCCAAACAATAGTGTTTCACTTGAATAAAACAAGTAACACAATATGAGCAAAATTGATATTGGCATTCAATTTCGCGTGCTTTCAATAATCACAATCATGATAATAAGCACAATCTACCGTCAGATAGATGGAGTGGCCATGAGAAGCCCAATGGACCAATCTTAGCTGACATATTTGTCTGAAATTGAAAACAACATTGAAGATGATCTCAAGTCCTCAGTGTTTTATCGTCCTTATGTCAATGATACACTGGTAATAACCTCAAACAAAACAGATGTCATAGTTTTGTTTAACAACTTGAACGGGATGCACAACAATATCAAGTTCACTTTGGAATGTGAAACTAATGATTCGTTACCATTCCTAGACCTACAACTGACAAGATTGAAGAATGGTACGTTCCTGACCTCAATTAATCACAAGTGTACGTCGACCGGTCAGTATTTA